CATTTAACTGAACTTCTTAAACAGTTTGGATACTGTAGTCCACGTGGAAGTGAGTAGAACCATATTAAATGGGTATATCAAAGCATGGTGGTTAGTTGGTAGTTTTAATCCCATTAGCCATACTTCAGGGAACTTTGATTTTGGGGTCAAAGAGGCTTCTGAGAAACTTTCATATGTCATTAGGTTAATGCTCAGTGTAGAATTCTTTTTTCTTTGACCTAACGAGGTAAATCGGTAAAACTTTCCTCTGTGACCATAGCTGTGACGGGCATGTCTATTCACCCATACATTTAATAAATAGTCATACAGGTGTACTGTTTGCCAGGCACTGTGCAAAGGCAAGAAATATACTATTAACAAATGCATTGGTGTGGACTTGGAGGAATCAGGTGAGCAGATAATTACCATATCCTGCAGTTACAGGCTGGATATTATCCCTGAAAAATTTGTGTATTGAATCCCAAACCACTAATACTCAGAATGTGCTTTTGTTTATTTTTGTGTTTATTTGAGATAGGGCCTGTAAAGCGGTGATTAAGTTAAGACGGGATCATTAGGGTAGGATTTAACTCAATCTGTCAGCTGTCCTCATAAGATGAGGGATTTTTGACATGGCAAAGAGTCTGGGGACATACGCACATGGAGATAAATACTATACAAGCCAAGGAGAGGTCTCGGAAAGAAGCAAACACCTTGATCTTGGACTTCCAACCTCCAGACTGTGAGAAAATAAATATCTGTTGTGTAAGCCACTCGGTGAATGCCATTTTGTTATGATAAATCTAGAAAATTAATACAACTGTTGATAAGGACGTGGTCCTCTATGAGCACAAACTAGATACCTGATCTAGTCGGGTTTGGAGACAGGATTTCAAGACGGACAGGAGAAGGGAATAGCTAAATGTCCAGGGCTATTATCCTAAGCAGCCTGTGCACTTTATAAAGGGATTTCCTATCAGGCCTGCAGCACAGCAGAGGACGCTCACATATAATGTGAATTCAACGGTATGTGCACTTCCAGCATTTGCAAGGGTCTTTGCAGTTAACATGCAAAAGCAGAAATATATGGCACAATCGTTTCCAATCTTTTAAACGGAGTGTCCAATTTTGTTTTAAACTGACATTATACACAGAACTTCAATATTTAAAACAGATTTTTACAAACTCCCATTGAAGTGGATATTGAGGCCAACCGGTCGTGCTTTGCCTCTTAAAATAGTTGATGAGGCACCTCTGGATACACCAACGTTTAAAGGAAAGGTATTTAACAGACAGCACAGGGCAGAAAACTCTCCATGACAAGAGTAGAACTCGGCTTAATTGTAGACAGATATTGAACCTCCTTTCCAGAGAACAGACTAGCTTTCATGTCAGAAGTGGGTTTTTCTTAGATGTCTGACACACAGTAGGACAGGAGGGGTCCACCTAGCCTGGGCTGTAGAGAGGACTTGGAACAAAGAAAAAAAAGCAGGACCAGAACCATGGACTGTCCACTCTGTCACTGCCTGATTTTGCACTAGAATGTTCTTAGAAGAGTGAGTTTTGAGTAAAGTGCGAATGGAGGAAGACCTTCCCTTTGCACAAGGAAGTGGAGTGGCCATTCTAGTGGAGCAAGATGGGTGAGATGATCAAGAGTGGTTAAAGTATGTGCAGAAACCATGGATTGGGATATAAATTAGCCTAGAGGTCATACATATGTAGATCTTGAGAGGAGACTTTGAACTACTGAGTAAATAAATAATCAATTAGTAGAGGCCCTGAAAACAGAATTCCCAGGACATGAAAAATCCTCATTATCTATTTCCCCATATTTGGGGTCTTGGACATTTTCTTAACCTATGGAAGGTAGTTTCTTACCATCCTCTGAATTTTTGGTTTTGTCCTGGCCTTTACCTTTTGTGTGCCCTAATTCCAGATGGTCTATTCATTCTGGTACTAAGTCTCCATAAACCGTTCATGTGCAGATTCTAATTTGATTACCAATTAGTTGCCTTGGTCGACAGGTTTTCTGGACATCCTGTTTCCTTTTCCACTTGACACTCTCATATTGGTTGATTTCTTAGGATGCTCACTTTTTCTCATTTCTGATTGATTCATCCTTGAGGATTTGGGAATAGGGATTGCTGATATTGATGGTCAAGAGCAAAGATGTTCATGGGTCTTGGTACTAGGCAGTCAAAATTTAATGGGATGCACAGAAGAGTTAAAACTCTGTGCTTCTATCTGGTGTGGTCCTTTCTTCCTTTGAGCTTTCTCACTTTACATTCACAATGTCTTGTAAATTTGGTAGTCTATCTTCCGTGTACCCATGAGAGGCATACCTCTCTGGAAAGGTCTAGGAAAAGAAGCCAAAAATAGGCTGGGAATATAGCTCAGAGACGGAGGACTTGCCTAGCATGTGTAAAACCCTGGGTTTGATCCCCAGAAATGACCCTCCCCACAAAAAAACACACCAAATATTCCTTTGTCTGATTTTGATGAGGACCTGGGTCTTTACTCAGCCTAAGAAGAAAATATGCCAGTTCAAGATGAACCTATGTTACTGATTGGGTCAAAACAACATCTATCAATAAAAAACATGCATTTATTTTAACGTTGTGTATTTCTCCCCATAAACTGGTTATGATTAGATGGTAAACCGTTGATTGAGATTCTTGGTTTCTGGCTTAGTATCCTATCTACATTGCTAGCAAACTTTGCTACAGGCTTCAAGGAAGATAGATAAGTCAGATGGGTGTGTCATTATGTGCAGGTTGATGTGAAAACGGGAAGAACCAACAAAGATGGGAGCCAGCTGATGCAGCTAAGATGGCGAAGGCCAACAGGAGGGCTGAGGTGGTAGGAACGGAGAGGGAGGAGGAGCTCATCCAGAAACTACTGTGAGGACCTTCCAAATTCCCAGGCAGATCCTCTGAGAATAGAAAATTTGAAGCAGAGTCTTGGCAGAGCTTGGTGATTGGGAAACCATGTACATGTTCTCCTGCTGCTCCAGCTTGGCAGTTGGCTTTCTGACTCAGTGGAGAGGTGATTACACACTGAAAACTTGGCTTCAGCTTGTCCCCTCCACAGACCCCTGGAACACGGCATTTAATCAGCAAGCTGGCCATCAAGGGTCACTTGACATTTTGCAAATGTGTTTTAGATACCTGGGCAAGTCTGTTGATGCATTCTTCCAGTTTCCCTACAGAGTTGTTCCAGCTCATGGCCAATGGGCCACACCAGGCACTGCCTTCACACATGGAATCACTTTGTTCAGGAGCCTGGGCCAGAGTGTGATGAGCTTGTCTCCATCCTGCTGTCTGACTCAGAGGTGTAGGAAACTGGAAACATCAGGACACTGTGGACTGTAAGCCCCAAATCAGATACACTGGGAGCTGCAAATCAGTGGGACAGGCACAAAGGGATTCAGTGTACAAGGGCAGCCGCTAGCACCAGAAAAATCATGCAGAAGCTCAAGACTTTGTTTTTCCCATTGTTCCCTGCAGAATGTCTGTAAAGAAGAAAAGCAGTTATTCCACTGGGTCAAAGTACATTGCTCTCATGAGGATCATGCTTGGGATGGCTAGGACACAGGGCTTCTCTTCTTATATCCATCTATGGGGACAGCATCACTCTGTGAAATAAAAATAAACATAAATTTTTAAGAGAAATAAGCCTCAAAAATAGAGGGAGATAAGGGAATTAGGCCACCCTTTTTTTTTCACAAATAGCATATTGGTTGAATGAATATAAAGCCATGAGTGTGTTTTCTTTCTTTTTAAACATTTATTTTTTAGTTGTAGTTGGACACAATACCTTTATTTTGTTTATTTTTATGTGGTGCTGAGGATCGAACCCAGGGCCTCGCACATGCTAGGCAAGTGCTCTCCTTCTGAGCCACAACCCCAGCCCCCTGTTCTTATTTTTAAGACATCTGGTAGAGTCAGTCCTCCTTCCTTCCCACATCTTGCCAATGGTATCCTCTTCCTTCTCCTCCTTCATCTATTTTGTTATCTCCCATTCACTGGGGAGAATAGAAACTCAAGACCCAGGGTGATCACACTCTTCTTCAGAGTGGAAGACTCTTCAACTTGCAACTCTGTTTGTTTGTTTTTTTTTTTTCTTTTGGATGGGGGTTACCAGGGATTTAACTCAGGGTCACTGAAACAGAGTCACATCCCTAGCCCTATTTTTTTTTTTTTTTGTATTTTATTTAGAGACAGGGTCTTACTGAGTTGCTTAGTGCCTCGCTTTTTGCTGAGGCTGGCTCTGAACTCGCAATCCTCCTCCTGTCTCGGCCTCCCTAGCTGCTGGGATTACAAACGTGTGCCACCATGCTGCCTAACTTGCAACTCTATATCTCTAGTGCCTACGTCATTTGTGGCATAGAAGAATGAAAAATGGTAATCTGTTGTATGATAATAATAGCTAACAAAAAGTACTGGGGCTGAGTTGGAAGTACATCTTTTGATTCTGAAGTACAAAGCAGTATTATAAATATTCCCATTTTAAAGATGAGAAGACAGGTTGAGTGCAATTTAGAGCTGCTTAAGAAATGGAGGTCATTGTGAATTCAGATTATCCGACTCCAGATAATCTATAAATTGAACGTAATATCTGTTAAAATCCCACAGCCTTTTCTGAAGAAATACAGGCTGATCCCTAAATGTATGTGGAAATTCAAAGGGATAAGTATAGTCAATAATATTGAAAACAAAAAAGGGTAGAGAGAACTTTCTTATTATATAATATACTATAAAGCTACAGCAATAAATCTATAGTTAATTCATTTTGACAAAGGTCATTAACAAATCTGTTTCATTTGTGTCACTTACGCCATTGGGTTCTGACGGCATACTAGGAGGAGTCGCACAAATGAATGAATTGGAGCCAGAAATATGTATGATTTTTTTCAATGACAGCTAGACATCTATCACTATTAAGTAATTCTTTAATTGCCTCTAATTTGTTCCATCTCCAATTTTCCACAGGAACTATAAAAAATTGATCCCCATCCTTACCTCTGAAAGCCTTAGCATATGCTCGATTTCTCTCCAGTCCTTGGAGACGTACTGATCCATCACTCATCCTTACATTCTTGCTGCCCTTTGCTCCTGTCACTTTCTTTTTTAGTCAGGGTTTTCACTGCTGTGACCCAAAGGACCTGACCAGAACAATGGTAGAGGAGGAAACATTTATTTGGTGGCTTGTGGTTTCAGTGGTCTTAGTCCATAGAGGGTCAGCTCCATTCCTCAGGGTTTGAGGTGAGGCAGAACAAGATGGCAGAATTGTGTGGCAGAGGGAAGCATCTCACATGATAATCAGAGAGCAGAGAAAGAGAAACTCCATTCTCCATATACACAATACATACCCCATAGCCACGTTCCCAATGAACCACTTCCTGCAGTCATACCTGACTTGCCTCTAGTTCCCATTCAGTTAATCCTATCAGGAATCAATTAACTGATTAGGTTAAGGATATAGCCCAATCATTTCTCTTCCAAACCCTCTTGCATGGTCTCACATGTGAACTTTTGGGGGACACCGCATCTAAAGCATAATGTGGACTGAATTATGTTCCCTCAGATTCACACATTGAATCTCTACTCCCAATACGATAGTACCTGAAAACAGGATTTTAAAGGAGAAAATCAGATTGAGAGTTTTTAAGGGTGGGGCCCTAATCCAGTGACTGGAGTTCTTATAGAAGAGGAAGAGACACCAAGAATGTGGGCACATAGAGGAAAGGCCAAGAGAAGACAGTGAGAATGTGGGCATCTATAAGCCAAAGAGGGAGGGCTCGGGAGAAACTGGATCTGCCGACACCTTGACCTTGAACTGCCAGCCTCCAGAACTACGAGAAGCAAATTTCTGTCACTTAAGCCACCCAGGCTCTGAAATTTTGTGATGGCATTCCCAGAAGACTAAGATGACACTTATTCATTCGTGATAGCCTCCCCTCTGTTTTAGATTAAACTCTTCCCATATTCTCCAGAACCTTGCTCTATCAATTATTTCCCTCTTTATCTTTAATCATCCAATAAATTTTGGTTCTTATATTCAATATGAAATCAATAGACCCATAGTTTTTTTTTAATCATCAGATATGCTCCCTTTATTTCACAGCGTTTGGAGGAAGGAACCCTTCTCGCTCTGTATTCTTACTGCAAATTCCTGGTATCTTGTGGCAGAGATTCATAGTAGCATTCTTTTTCATAATTATAGCATGGAGTTCAACTAAGAAGTTATTTTTTTTCTTGGTATTCCCTTGTAGGTATTAAGTTATGACCTGTGAGGTATAAGTGAAAGTGTTATGTGGGAACTTCTGAGAAATTCCCTTAAAGGGAAGCATGTGTCCTTCTCCTCTTTCTCCTTCCTGTCTGAAATGTGGGCTCTAACTTGCTTTGAGTAGGACTGTTTTTTCCCCACTGTACCTTGTACAAACTTTTATTATAATTATCATCATGAATTATAATCATTTATTTTCACATGTGAATTATCACTGGGCCATAAGCGTCTTTTCGGTTTTGTATTCATCGTGTTGATCAGTGAGTCTAGTACAAAGTAAGAATGTGAATAAATAGGTGGATAATTGAATGACTTCTGTGGCTAGCTTTGATCATCATAGATCTTGGTCCTTTATTTAAACTCAGTCCTTCAGTTAGTCGGCTGTCCCTGTACTGGTGTGTGGGCATGTATTAGTTATGTTCTGTGCTAAGGTCAGTCGAGGATAAGAGGTGATCCCAGTCTGCTACTACTCTCTCTAGTAGAGGAGAAGCTATATGTGCCAAACAACCATAACATAAAGTAGAAAGTAAGAAGTGTCATAGGAGAGGTACAGAGAAAGACTGAGTTCATAGAAGGAAGAGATGTCTTTTGCTTATGAAATCATGGATGACTATGGAGGGTTGGGCATTAAACAAGGCTTGAAGGTGGCTAAGAATTCTGTATGTCAAGATGGAAAGGAGAATATTACATAGGTAGAAATAGGGGGAAAAGTGGATAATGGTAATGCTATTGTATGGAAAACTGGGAACATATATGGGGAAGTTTTGGAAAATAAGCATTGCAAAAGTAAACTGGGACTCGGTATAGGGAAATCTTGGCTGACCTCTCGTAATGAGAGGGGCCACTGCAGTTGGCCTTTTGGGAAAGCCAGGATGTCTCAGGTTTTGAGATCCTTCTGATACGTAACCAGTTTTCAGCCTGTATCTTTGATTTCAGTTGACCTAAACATGATTTTAAAACCTTAGCCTGTAGCATAGGAGAGATGGAGTGCTAGATTTTTTTTTAAGTGACATTAAATCTCTTTCAGACTCTTCAGAGGAGGTTAATCCATGTTTAGAAAGCAATAGATCAGAACCCCAGATTACTCATAGCTGAATTCCAATAGATGATTTTTTCAAGGCTGAATGATATTGGCAACTACACTCATCTCCAGTTGAGGTCCCACTCCAGTAGGAGACTTGAAGGATTTTGTAAAAGTGCCAATCTGAGAAGCTATGGTTCACAGTCACACTGTAATTAGAATGCTTGGATGTAAGCAGATGGTTCTGAAGAGGTTGCAGAGGAATTTCCTTACTCAGAAAATTGTACAATGTTATGGCTTTGCAGTCAGATGGACCAGAATCCAAATCTTAGCTCTGTTATCTCCACTATGGACGCTCTGCATCTCCCCAGTGTAGACACATATGTGGTCCAGGGGTTGTAGAAGACGAAGGACGACTCGGAGGGATGCAGAACAGCTGTGGGTTCCCCATTGCTCCACACCAAGAGGACCCAAAGGAGAGTGAAAAGATTCACCACTTTTCAGAGCAATGTGCCTCTGAAGCAAGATCAATCTCTTTGAGCTTTAACTTCCTTCTCTGTGAAATGATACCTTATAATTTGTAGTTCACGGTGTTCGGTGCAGTATTTATCAAAGTATCTGTGGTAAAATTTTTTAAAATATCCACTTTGTTGAAGATAGTCACTTCAACAAATTGAAATAAATTAATGAATGAAAAAGGCAGGTACAATACAAGCTTCATTTAAATTTTGTTATTGTTATTGGCTTTCACCAACATGGTTGTAGGTCCAGAGGAAAAGAGGAATGATGGGGATAGGTTCTGGGGACAGCGTCAGCCTCTGACAAGGGACTTCAGAGAAGGCCACTGCAGTTTACTTAGGCAAGAAAGAACAACTTCCTCACACAGAGAAGAATGGGTGTTTCTGGATGCTTCTGTGTCAAAAATTGATTTTTGAGCTTTCCAACTTCATCAACATCTGCACCCTGGTCTCCGTCCAAAATTTTAGGACCGTACTTCTTTCCCAATCGGCGCCTTAGCTTGGACTTCAAAGTCCCCATGAGTTTGTGAATTTAATTTGTATTACAATTCAGCCACTCTGGATTAAAACTTGATTGAACTTTAGAAACCATGGCTCTGCCATTGTAAGAGTAAAGAATTTCTTTTGTGTCATCACTCAATGCACATCCCTTTTGCAAATCTTTTAAGTGGAAATAAAGCCCTGAGCTTTTTATTTTCTGTCTTCAAGTTCTCCAGTACACTTAGAAGCAAGGAGCAAACAAGCAAACTTTTCATGCTTTCCATTTTCAATAAACTGATCTGGAGGAGTAAACCTAAACCCATGAATATGAGCTACATCCCATGCATTGTTCTGTTAACCAACTTAGGCTGCCATAACAAAATGACTTAAATAACAAATTTCTTTTCTGAAAGGGGTGGAGCCTAGCAAGTCTGGAGCTTGGTTTCTGGTGAGGGCACTCTTTCTGGTTTAGAGAGGACTGCCTTCCTGACTCTGCTTTCATATGGTAGTTGTGGTGGAATGGAGATAAAAACAGATGTCTCTTCTGGTGAGGATGCAGATCCTATCATAGTAAGGTCACACTCTGTGACCTCATTTAACCTTATTTACCTTATCTTCATATGTGGTCACATTTAGGGTTAGGGTAAAAGATGAGTTTTGGGAGTCACAGTTCTGTCCAGAGCAGTCTTTCACCATCTTTAACCATCTTCAACGGAGGTCTCATGCAAGAAAAGCTAGGGCTCTTTGTCACAGAAATGAACATGTATCTGGCACAGGAGTTGTAGAACGTGAAGGATTCAGTGGGAGGTAGGACAACTGTAGGCTCTCTAATGTTCCACACCAACATGACGAGCTAACAGTGAAAAGGTATGTGACTTGAAATAGTACCTAGCACTCCTGCAGTGACCTTCTCGGTGTAAAAGTGACACAGCCACAGCTTCATTTCTACTTCCCAGATCTCATGCAAATGTCTCATGTGGCCCACAATTTGAATGGTACAGAGAAACAAAATGTAGTTCTAGCTTATCTGAACTGACACAGCAGAGAGAACACTTCTAGACTAGAAATGAAAAGTTTTTAATGGAGCGCCATGATCTCTTAGTTGTTTTTAACCATTAGTCCTATACAAAGTGGAGTGTATCGCAGAGCAGGAGTGAGAAAGGAACTAGCTAGGAGTGGACTGTATGGGGACAATGGTGGCCTTGCTTAGAATGGTAGTGGGGATGATAGTCATACTTTGATGGACTTAATATGCAGAGTTTGGAAAGTGACAAATTATCACTCCCAGCGTTTCAGTGTGAGTAACTGGATGAATAGTAGTACAATTAATATAGCTGGAAAAAACCAGAGGAGAGGGGCTGGAATTATGGCTCAGTGGTTGAGCGTTTGCCTCACACGTATGAGGCACTGGATTCGATCCTCAGTGCCACATAAAAATAAATAAAATGAAGGTATTGTGTTCATCTACAACTAAATATTAAAAAACCAGGGGAGGAAAGGGGTTTCTGTAGGCATGCATGTATTTAGAGGGCAACAGATAATTCAATAAACAATTGGCTTAAGTAAGAGTTTGTTGGTCTCAAACAACTAGAAGTCCTGGGGTAACCATCTCAGGGCTTATAAAACGGTTCAACAGGGGCTGGGGCTGTGGCTCCAGAGTGCTCGCCTAGTACATGCGATGTCTTGTGTTTGATCCTTAGCACATAAAAATAAATAATTAAATAGAGGTATTATGTCCAACTATAACTAAAAAATATTTAAAAAAATAAATAAAATGGTTC